CACACATAGAAACCAATCATGTAGACCTTTCTGAATTCTGAGTTTGCAAATTAATCAGTCCTCACACCCAAAAGCTCCCATAGTGACTCTTAATCGCATATGGCTACTCTTAAGTTTCTAAATAATTATTCGATAAATAAAATGAACCAACTGTCATCATCAAATCAAAGAAAACTGGTCATTTTATCAGATGATTCAGATCAATGATTAAATCATCGTTACTTTTAAACAAAACTGAGTTAGATTAAAAAAAACACCATTAAAAAATACATTTAATGCTCTTTTAGCGGTGCTGTCTCGGTGGCTTTTTCCTAGTTGAGATTTGAAGGATAACGTCCGGTGAGACTGGTAGTGATGGATCTGAAGTCGCGAGGGCTGCATGGCAATTAGTGGATTCTGTTGACTCAACAAATTTTCCAGCCATATGGTGGCAAATCGATTTGTTTTTCTTCTGAGCTCCGGAACTCGAGCAGGTCCAGTGGGAGTTCGTTGGGATTTTTGGGCACGGATTCATATGCATTTTGAATTTGAAAAAAAAAAGAAAAAAAAATTTCTCTCAAAAAAAAATTGTTTTCGGGATGAACCTATTTTAAGGTTTACTAATGGAATTCAAAAATTAATCCACGTTCTTCCCATACTTTAAAACCAAAAATAATTAATATTTTAATCTAATGAACCTCATAGAAAAGTTCACTAATGAACATGGTCTAAAAGGATGACAGCAATACAAGCAAGGAAGAGAAAGCACGAAGGCTGTTTGAGATGTTTTTAATTAGGAGTTTTTTATTTAGTTCGGTTTAATTAATTTTTGTCTGGTTTAATTTTTTTGTAAACTAACTCCTATTTTCGGTTTGGGATGTTTTTAATACAATATTATTTAAAAATTGGAATTTATAATTAATATTTATTTGTTAATTTTCAATTTGATTTTTGAAATATATTTATTTTTGAATTAATTTAATTAATTTTTATTATTATCGTAAAAAATCGTAGCAAATAATTCATAAGAAAATGGTAGAAAATAGTTCGTTAGAAAATGATAAGAAAATGGTCGGATATTTTCAATAACTTTCCTACTAAAATTTCAATCGAAATTTTCCTACCAACATTTTCATAGGAAATTTCCTACAATTTTCCTATTTTTTATAATTTCCAACGGTCGATTTCTTATAACAAAATTTCGTAAGAATTTGATAAGAAATGATTGTTTCCTATGCTTTTCCGACGATATTTTCTTTAGGAATATGATATGTTTTCTTGTAGTGTTCATCAGTTGTGCAGGAACTACTAAAGCAATTCGCAATGTTTGAACTTGGGGACAAGATTCATGTTAGAGAAAGGGGTATTGATAAACTGTATGGAGTTTATTTCCAGAAGAAGAAGCCAGTTTAAGAGATGAAAAGTAAAGTGAAGGCAATAGAGGAGTCAATTAGCCAACAAGAAGGTTGACCAATGATGATTGCAAATAGGAAAGACTCTAATTCTTCGAGTTGAAATCTCAAAGAAGCTAAAATAGAGTCCATTTAGCTATTTTCTTCTTTATGCTTTGAATGTTGTACGTTTCTACAAGACTAGATGAAATCACCATGGGATCCATATTACTTTTGAGTATCCTTGTATGTTTTTTTAATTATGGATCGTTTGTTTTGTTTTATCTCAAAATGTACTCCAAAACATGGAAACAGGAAAATGGAAAGAATGATATACTCCAAAGAACGATAGGAGCTAGAAGTTGTTGGAGTTAAAATGAGCACACCACTTGAAGTCGAGAAAGAGACACAGTATTTGTGAAGCCTTTTCTCATGGGATTCCCAAAAATTTGCTCCAAGGCTGCACATATGCCATAAATACCAGCCAATCTTCCTGTAGCTTTACCAAGCATTTGTGGCGGAGCCTAACTACATCAGTGGGAAGCCCAAAAACCTTTATGCTGTGATGGATCAACCCAAACAATACAACATCATCTTCATACTAACCATCGATATCTATTGTTTGATCATCAACATAAATTTTTCCAACATAAATTTTTCAAAGATAGGTAGAAAAGTAAATTTGATCATCTACCAATATGCATGTCTTGTTTGGCTTTTTTATCTTCAGAGTCCTCAGGTTACTCGTGTCAATATTCGTCCATTGTGGACTCTCGGCATTGAAGACCAATTTCCAAACCTCTATAACAAGGTCATCATCATCACGAAGCACGAGGGACAAAACAATGAATGTACCTGCCCAGTGTCCAACATAATCCACCGTGTTGTTCGCTTGGTAACTCTGGTGTCATTTGTCTTTGGATTAAACATTATTATCTTCTTCCCCAGGCCCCATTTGAATTGAAATTAAATAAAAAAAAACTAGACAACGAGAACCTTAGGTTTTTAACAAGATTAAGACTAGTATGTTTCTACATCAAATTAGAAAAGCTCTCCATAAATTCTTTTAGTGGAGGAGCAACGTTATACTGCTCTTAGCTGAATTAAGATTTTACAAACTGAAATCTTATAATTGTTTGTTTGCCACAGTTGATGTACATTGATGTTTTTAAGGTTTGTATATATCATGGTTTTTGTGTCTCTAGTTAGGGCTGATCCGGCGATTCGTTGGAAGTGAACCAGATCTGTCATCAACTTATTTGTATCCCGCAAGATAAAGGGATATATCAAGAATTAATTAGTGTTGTGGCAATGATGATGGATATGATTTCTTTCGTTAGTCTTTTTCTTAATAGTTGTGAACATCATGTAATCCATAATTTATTTTGTTTCAAGTCTTTTTCCTTAATAGTTGTGAAAATCATGTAATCCTTAATTGATTTTGTTTCACACAATAAAATTACTTCATATTTGCTACAATCAGTAAATCGTTGTGTGCAAAAAGATATTGATTTTACCAAATTTGATGTATGTCTATTGATTTGATCTCGGATTGGTGTTATCTTTTGTATTCACAGGCTATATGTGAAACAATCAGATCAGTTTATTCTGATCGTAATGATCATGACAAGTCATTTCTGATTTCTTATCCAGCCAGCATCACGAGATTCAATCTGACGCAAAAGTCCTAGAACATAGATTTTAGAATCCATGTATCTTATATGTATCAGTTTCGAATGAAGATCTAATTTATGTTCACCCATAAAGTCATTGCTAGGCGAAATAAATTCTCTAGAGAGTTTATATTTGGAGGTACTTAATGTCATTAATACACCAACTTCTAGACTAACACAAAGGTCAGAGTAAATTTGTTCACTCTTAAGGGTTTCTTTTTTTTTGTTCCCATTTTTTTTATATACAGTAACTGATTCTTCTAGAATAAGCTACAAATTCTGATTAAACTCAATTTCTTATAAAAAAAGGGTGAACTTGAAAGCTTTTTTTTGATTATGGTGTAAGATTACTACAACTAAAGATTGAAAACCATGTGGTGTATTTGTTAAGCGGGAAGTACATCTCTATTTTTGAACGTCAGATAGTGTCTATATCGTTTTCTTTTTAGCATATATTTCACCGATAAGTAATATTAAGATGTAAAAAGTAATAAACTCACATGAACATAATGAAAAAAAAACAGAATACAATCTGCAAAAGATACAATCCTCACATCTGCGCGCAGGGCGACATAAGCCGTAGTTTATATAATAGTTGGTTTAATATTTTGATTTCTGTGAGATATTTAGAAAATTAGACACCTTAAATTAAGTATTATTAGTATAAAATTGTGTTTAAATGTTTTTAAGGTTTAATTGGAAGTAAATATTATAGAATTGTGTTAAAAGTGAAACCCTTCTTATAACGTACCCATTTTTAATATGCTACACATTCGCTTCAGCGATTCTGAATCCATACAAGTACAACATAGCTAAATACAAGAAATGGTGTATTCGTCGTCGTATCAATGATACAATGGGTCACACCATGTATGAACCTGTGCAGATCAAAATATCAATGTTTTTCCCATTTGGAATGGAAAGATTAACATTTTTAACCAACGAAACAAAGAGATGATGATGGCTCACACGTAATCCAATGAAAACCATTAGACAATACCATAAAGCAACCAGCAAACCATACATAAGAAGATGATTGAAGAGAGAACACAAGATCATCGAACCTAAAATTAGTGTAAGACTCACTCTTTGACTAGCACTGATTACGATTACAATCATATTGACTAGCATTGATTATCTTCCGTCTCTTTCTTTTCGTTCCTCTTTTCTTTTCTTTTTTGTTTCTTTTCGTCTTTTATTCATGCTGAAATGTCGGACTCTACGCCGGTTCCCGCCGCTCTGACTACAGACAAACCTTACGGAATTTCTCAAATCCATGGTTACATACCTATTCAGCTTGATCTTACTACGCTCAACTACAACGTATGGCGTGAGCTTTTTGAAACTCATTGCACGATCTCTCCGGTCACATAGATGGATCGTCTGTTCCATCTCCCGAGACAGAGACGCAATGGAAGGAAAGAGACGGGCTTGTCAAGATGTAGATCTATGGCACCGTGTCGGAACAACTTCTCGACACCATTCTCAAATCCAGATCCATCGCTCGAGATCTCTGGCTTAATCTAGAAAACTTTTTTTCTCAACAACAAAGAAGTGCAACGATCACGACCTCCGCACTCTTGTGCTTGGTGATATGTCTATCACCAATTACAGTCACAAGTTGAAGACTCTCTCCGATCTTCTCACCAATCTCGAATATCCTATCACCGAACGTGCGCTGGTGATGCACATGCTTAATGGTCTCTCTGAAATATTCGATAGCATCACAAACGTTATTCAACATTAATCTCCGTTTCCATCCTTTACTAAAAAAACACCATTAGAGAAAGAACAAACAAAATTAGATCTTATTGGTGATTTTACCGCAGGAGGCATAATTTAACTAAGCTTGTATGTTATGTAACAAACAACAAAGATTTGTACTTGGTGTCTGATGTTTTAATTATTAAAAGAAAAATAAATTTCGATTATAAAAGTTAAGGAATTTACAGAGAGGTGACAGATCAATATTCAAATCAAAAGCCCTTTGAATCAAACTCACATTCTCTCTTTCTCATGAAACCCAAATGTTCATTTGTCTTATTTACATTTTACAGTCTTGAACTCGGAATCGGACTCGGGATGACTCGGTGAACGATTCCACCCACCTTTTAACCGCCATCTCCTTCTCTCTAACCGCAACTTCGCCTGACTCGACTCAGTGAGTAACTCGCCACCCGATTTAAACCCCAAGTATAATCAAATCTCTTAACAAAACTTAAAACAGTGACCCGAACCCGATTATAATTAGCACCACCCGACTCGGTGGTAACTCAGCCGAGTCAATAACGTTTTTTTATTTCAAAATTCGCCTTCTCTACTTCAGCCGAGTCAATGGCGATTAAACCCGTTCCGAGTCAAACCGTGTCAGAAATCGAACGAACCGACACTCTTCTCCGTCGATCTTAGCAGAATCACCAGATTGCTTTCTCGGCGACGCCGTGAAGCAACGGCCGAGATTCGATCAACAGATCTATCTTGCTTTTGATTCCTACTCCGTGGTGGCATTTCTGGAGATCGTCGGGACAAGTAACCCGGCTCGACCGTGACGAATCGGACCGGGAAATGAACCGGATCGCTTCCTCGAAAACCGATTCTTCACAAGGGATAACCAACGGTCCCTGGTTCGCGAAACCGTACTCTTCCTCTGCTTGGACTAGGAGGTTACTCAGGATCGGATGGTTCAGGTACGACGCGCGCACCACGAATCTCCTGCAATCGCTACCCACGCAGACTGCCACGTGTCCAGATGGAACATCCGACGGCACACAACGGCTCACTGAAGATAACCGTGCTTTGTTGCGCCATCGCCGGAGCATTTGCCTGAGTCTCACAATGTGGCGGATCTTGCTGCATTTTCCGAGTCCTCCGGCCATTATTTTTTTTTATCTTCTTCAGTTTAGTCAATATTTTGAAGTAGAAAAGGCGGAATCTTCGAGTCCTGATTTTTCTTTATTTTTGTTCACGAGAAAGCGAGAGAGAAAGTGAAAGAAAAAATGTCAGGTGGAGGGATTTGAGCATTTGGGAGAGACGAAGTTTAAATAGTGAAGGGAATACAACAATGCCCTTAACTTTTTGAGATAATTACGAAACTTTCTTCTCTGTCCTTTCGAATTAGTGATTGAATTATTATTTATTTTCTCTTTGTTAGTTCTTATGGTTCGTATTAAAAGTCTTTATTTTGATAATTGTGTTAATGAACCGATTATGGAAAGAAACACTTAATTAGCCCTTAGATTATATATAAGATTCGTATTTTGATGTATCTATCGCTTTATTGACTATATATGTACACAGTTTAGAATTTAAAACAGTAACACTGAAATGACATTTAAATTTGTTTGCCAAAAACAAAAACATTAAATTTGTAGTTGATTTTGAATAACCACTTGCCAAGATAAAACCAACATTATTTTTTAAGTTTTAAGTATAAGTTTTCAAAGATTGGTTTCAGATGAAAGTTTGAAAGAAATAAGACCCACCACATGTGTAGCTGGAATTATTACTTTATGATAAACAATAAACAAAGCATATTACCAAATTGTATAAGCTAGACTCTTAAGCTAGTAAAAATGTTAACCGAAGATGCTTTTGTGTCCCAAACGACTTTTAATTTTATTTTCCAGAAATATATATTTTTGTAAGGAAATGAAATTAATATAAGAGAACGTACCAAAGCACTTATTTTTTGTAGTTTGGAAATTTGTCCATGCCCCCATGTGCGGCGATGCCCCATCTAATTTTTTTGCTATCTTGCTTTTGAAAAATATTCTCACAACAACAAGCAGCCAAAACAAATATGCAAAAGAACTAATCATTATATCTTAATCTGTATTGTGAATCATAAAACAATGAACTCCATATGCAATTTGTTACTCTTGGTCTAATATGATCTGCATAGCTCTCCATATTATTCGCTATACTCGTTATATTCACTACCAAAAAAATGTACATACTCACACACACAGGGCTGGCCGAAAAGTAAGACCCGTAAAGTAATGGATTCAGGGCAATCCAAAAAATATTATTTTTGAGGCAGTCAAAAAAACCCAAATTTTTTTTTATAAATGTGTGTAAAGAAGGTTGTCCCACATCGACCAAATAGAAAAAAATAGGATGGAAAAATTGCCTATAAATAAGAGTCATTATCCCATCAAATATTTTTTAAAAAATCGATTCTAGCTTATAATAATCGTTTTTGGGCTTCAAACAATCGGTTTTGGTTTATAAAAATCGATTTTGGGCTTAAAAAAAATCAATTTTGGTTTTTAAAAATCATTTTGGCTTTAAAAAATCGATTATGGACTTCAAAAAATCGATTTAAAGTTTAAAAAAATAATTTTGGCTTTAATAAATTGATTATGGGCTTCAAAAAATTGATTTTAAGCAGAGAAAATATATTTTAAGCAAAAAAAAAATTTTTTGATTAAAGACATCATTTTTACAGTATGCTTTAGGCGTTAAATCACTTTGGGCCGGCCCTACACACCAATCTAATCGATTTACTTGAGTAAACATGTTCGTTCATATATATTATAGTAACTGTATTCAACAAGTATATATAGATGCTAACTATTGGCGACTAATGTAAATAGAAGGACATAAATCTATAAAAAAAATGTTAAAATATATAGAGGAGGTGGGTCAATCAAGTGCATGAAATGGAGGGTAGGGTGCATCCCCTCATGCGGTACGTACATACCCCACTTGTTGGATTTAAGGATCTTCCAATCTCTTTTCAATTTTTCCTTCTTATAACCAAATCTTATTTGCCTCTGCATATTCATTATTGCTTACTATTTCAATAATTGCATGACCATCCATCGAAATGCTATGCATCAGCATTGTAGTGTCTTTTTTGTAAAACCATAAATATTGAACACTACGAAATAGCAATTGAAATATGTGTTTTTAAAAATAAACGTTAAGGAAAATATAAACGAATTGAGGTGAGAATATGATCTCTTTCCTTAACTCTTTGAATTGCCCGTAGTGCGACGGGTTTCTGTAATTCAAGAGTCGCAGGATACAACCAAACTTATCCGTTTTCAACAGCACTAAGAAACACGGATCTAAACGAACTATAATTCTACTATACTCTCGGTAGAAGACTTACGAAAAATAAAAGAGAAAGAGAGAGACTGTTGAGAGAATTTCTGAGAGGAAAAATGAGAGGTGTAAAGTATGAAAAATGAGAGAAAAGTCGTGTATATATAGCGGAGGAAGAGACTTGAACAGTCTCAAAAAATCCCAAGAAATCCGCTAGTCAACACGAATCTCGGCCATAAATTTAGCGCAGTCAAAGGCGAGAAATCAGCAATCTGTGATTAATCACAATCAGAAAGTCAACATAAAACGTTGACCAAAACGCCCATAAAAATATGGCCCAAAAAGAATACTCGCTTTAGGTCCGAAGGCCCATTCGACCAACACGACCCGTGCCCGTGCCCGTGCCCGGCCCGGCTTGGCGACGGCGGCGGCGCGCACGTGGGCTTATTCTTTTCTCTTTCACATGTTTTGAATATGTATAAAGCATATCTTAATATATACTATAGATTTTCCCACTAATCTACCGGTGTGGGACAAAACCACTTACAACACACTTCATTTCATTTTCACCCTTAATGGATTCAATAATTTCGGCCCAACATTTTTCTGCCCTCGCATTCACCTATATATATTGCGGATATGATATATATATGCAATAAAAGCTAATCGCTAATTGATTTCTACCAAACGAATATTTCGAGCTAATCCCACCATGTTGATATATAAGTCAGTTAAGCCATTGTTTTTTTTTACATCAAGGTATATAAAACTTATATTTCTTTAAAAACAAACCAAAAAAGGTAAAACTAATACAGAAGTCTAGATAAATCTTTGTACTATATTTTGGATTACAAGTTCAGGTATCTTTGCCAAAGGCCCAAAGAATATTGACCAATACTAGCTTAGAGTCTGTAGGTCAAATTCTATCTTTGTGATACATACAGTTGGCTAAACATTAAGTCACCATTTGAAAATTTATTCAAAACAAATTACTAGTAGGTCGTGTAAACACGAGTTCAAGAATCTTGATATATTCAAAACAAATTACTATATTTTCATGTATTCAAAAATCATAGTGTTACATTTACGTATTTTTTGAAGAAAGTATTATGTAAAGTCCCGTAGTATTTACTATTTAGGGGAAAAACATTTAGAAATTGACGACCAAAATATTGTTATAAGTTATAAAAGTGAAAAAAAAAATTCCTAATATACCATCTAATCAATCATTTCGAGTTAACCATAGCTGTTTCGATCAACTTCTAGTTGGGTAATTTCTATCGAAGATCACTGTATATATTCCAGACACAAGTTTGCTCAACCGTGACATACAATCTAATGTTCGCGACGATTTGACGACGTGAAGTCGTGAACCAAAAGAATGATCACTTATGGCGTGTTTGGAGATGGATGACACGTGGAAATTAGAAGATGATGTGTTAGCCTTCTGGTCAAAGAATAGTCAATAGAAAAAGGATTCTCTAACTCCCTCCGAGGGTTTAGGCACGAACAAAAATACATATACTCTGCTTTACGGACCCCACGTACGTCTCCGTCTCCGTCACCCTGCTTTATTTTTGTTCTTATTTAAATTAAAGTTTTATTTTTCAATTTCCCTATAAACAATTTAAGTATTTAATTTGTTTCCATTATGAGCCGGTGATTAGGTATAATAAGCAGAGGGGATGAACCTAATTAAAAGTTTTAGTCTTGCTCTATCTTCCATGCTAGGAAATAACTAATCATAGCTTTCACGAACCATTAGGCATTGATTATTATCAGTTAGAAATAAATTTGAGTTCGCTATCTTACCCTGTGAAACATAAAACATAGATAATAAACGTTTGTAAGAATAAAAGTTAACACATTTGAACTAATAAGTTCAACTGCGTCAGAAAAAATGAGCTTTGAAAAATAATGACAGCTTCATGGCTCATTTGAGTTGGTATAAAATTTTGCATTCAATTCAAAAAAAAAAAAATCAAGTCTTGCTATCCAATAGACAAAATATATTTGACTAAAAAATTTTATGCTTTATTACTAAATTATTTTATTTAAAATAATTAATTGTCTGATCTTTATATCTTACTAGGTGAATACCCCGCGCGTACGCGCGGATTTTAGTTAAACGTTGTGTTTTCATAAACCTTTATTTAAAAGTCTTAGTGAGTCATGAGATAAAAAATCTCTGATGCTTAGACAAGCAAAAAGATTGCATAAGCTTTTTTATCAAGAGAAATAAATTCAATGTTTATTCATGGGTCACCGTCTTAGTATTCTTAACCAACATCCATTTCTTGTCAAGTGTATGTGTCTCTTTGTACCCTGCAAATGCAATGATTTGGATCTTTTGGTAAGGAAATCGAGTTCGAGTTTGGAACAAAGAAGAAGAAGCCAATGGCTTACCTTTTCTTATGACATGGATTTTTGGGTCATCATAGCCTCTGATGTTTTTCTAAACATTTCCTAACATGCTTGTACATATTAGGTACTTCGTGGTTGCCACCTGAAACATTATTAGCATATAGATGAAGATTCTTAGGAAAAAACTCTAAATCACAGAGAAGCATCATGTTATACAAACACATCAAGCTATTAGATATTTTTTGCATATAAATACGAATTAAAATCTTACAGCCTTTGAGATTTTGGCATGGACAATGGCTTGAGTCATAAGAGAACTCAAAATATACTCTATTATTCCGTATCATGAACCCAAACAACCAAAAAAATCAGTCTCGCAATATGCAAATGTCACATGTGTCACTAACATATGAGACTCAACACGACTCAAAACATGTAGCAATTATTTTTGAGAAAATCGTCGGATTTATAACACATTAGGCTACCGGTTACCTGGCCGTGTGTGTATCCCATTAATGCATTTTTAGTTGTGGGAACATACGACTTAGTTTTCTTCTTTTCAACATCCTCACTCCTTTTGTTTTCCTCGT